CAGTTGGCTCCTAGACAATTTGGACATATGTAGTGTTAAAGGATCTATCCCAGACTGACTGAATGAGCAGCCACTCTGAGCAGCTCCAAGAGCTCCTGCCATAACAGCTGCAGCAGTCATAGCTACTGACATGCCTAATGGCTGCTGAAGTGCAGAATCCACAGGGACAGCTGGTCCCCCAATGTATTTTTGGTGATCTGATAGACATTACCATAGAAAACGTTAGATTCTAATTTCAAAGAGAATAAAAAACAATTGATGATATGACCCCCCCCCCCCTTCTATTTTGCTTATTGAAAAAGAAAGGGTGAAAAGCAGAAATGAAATTGAAACATACCCACATTCGCAGTCATACCAGGTCCGCCGCAACCCTGCCGAAAAGACAAACATGGTCAATTGAATAGATGTTATTAAAAATTAGAGAAAAGAAGCATTTGCTTTCCTTACATGCTATTTTTTGTTTGTTTCTCTTTACTCATTTGGTGGGGTTCAACAAAGTATTTGCTTGAGTTGGAAAAATTGACGTCCAGAAAAATAATGGTAATACGTCACAGATGAAGTTCTCTCACAATATTTATGCTTCTGCCCTTCTCTTCAAGAGGGGTTTGAATATTAAAAAGTGCTACTTGCATCCTAATTTAGGAACAGTCTTCTGACCGGGCACAAGTTTTAGGTCACGGTTGGAGTTTTGATGTATTTAAATGAAAGTGGATTTAACAATGTAGATGAAGCTAACTTTTTAGAGAATTTACATTTTAGAATAGAAGTTAGTGAAATTGCACCTTTTTTATAGCAAGAAAAATGAAAACTTAAACATTGTAGCAAATAATTCCTCGTTTCAGTCAAGGAAGTATATAGCTGGCATCCTCAGGTTTACACATTAACATGAGCAAGAGCCTCCTTTATCCAATTAATGGTGGAGGAAATTCAGTAGTTAATTATGATTTTGGGGTGAAAAACAGGACAATTTCCTGCTGCTTACTTGGGTCTACCAGTGTTTTGGACGGTGAAAGGCGACAAAGGTCTGCCTCGCCACAAGGCGAGGTGAGCGGCGAGGCGCTCGCCTTTTGAAAGTGCGGCACCATTTAATACCAAAAAATTAAAATATTTAATTGCATATGTAAATAATCAAAATCTCAATAGCAATAACATATTAGCAAATATTTCAATTCAAAAGCTGAAAATAGATAGTACATACTAAAAGTCTAGAACTTGAATGAGAAAAAAAACATAACAAAAGACAAAACAAAGGTAGAAGATTCTAAAGTCTGAAGAAGAAGAAGAAGGAAAAAGAAACAGAGGAAGAAGAGAAGAAGAAATATGTATTGGTTAGACTTTGGAGTCGCCGGAAAAGTCTGGCTAGTTGAAGGAGGAGTCTAGTTGAAAACCCTAAAATTACCTTTTAACTTTTAAAATCCTAAATTGGTCGCCTTTTCTTAAGAAAACACAAAAGGTGACACCTTTCTTGCCTTTCTCGCCTCTTGCCTCTCGCCTTTTGTCATCATGTTGTCGCCTTTTGAAGATCGCCTCGCCACAAAGCTAAAAGGCGATGAAGGGTCACCTCGCCTCGCCTCTCTCCATTGGCGACGAGGCGATCGCCTTTCACAACACTGGGGTCTACATTTGGAGGCAAATCATAGAGCGTCTGATGCGTGGCAAGGAGCAATAGAAGAATAGGGAGGAAGTTGGATATGTGGAAAAGCAGTACTTATCCATGGAGGAAGATTACCACTGATCAATAATGTTTTGGATAATGCCTAGGGCATTGGTCTAGTGGTAAGAACCAGCGCATGATGTTTTGAAGAGAATTCAGTGACCATTCCAATGAAAACATGCTAAACACCTTCCAAACCCTTTTTGTTGGTGAAATCATGGGGAAGTAGATACCAGTTTTGAATAAAACAAACATAAAAACATGAGGAAGTAAATGATCCAAGTTAGTTTTGGACATCATCGACTCCCTGATTCAATATAGGAGTCGCTTCATACTTTTGTAATTTGAATCTTCTGGTGACTCTGTCAATGCAATTATCTTACTTCATCAAAAAGGTCTTAAATTTAATTCAAAATAGAAAGTAAGACAGTTAATTCAAGATTGAAGGGCATCATAGATTCTTCCAACTGAACAAACTATATATCTGAAACTTTGTCATGATGAATACTTTGCTTCAACAAGTTTTATGCGCTTAATGACTAGTTTAGATGTCCAGGTCAAGATGGGACATCAAACAGAAAAGTTAGAGTAAGATGTGATCCCAAAAATCTAGGAACGACTACGAAGAAATTGACATATGCAAGTCATATAGGTGAAACACTGAAGAGGCAAAAGTAGAATAAGTGAGCAAATTGCAGGTAGCTAAAATGGTTAAAGCACCAGATACCAATTTTGTCATTAACCAGGATAGAAGCCAGTCACATTAATGCTGGATATCTTAAATAAGAATAAGTTCATCACCCACAGAACCTAGTGAGATGCCAACACCGCCTTCACCTCCCACAGAACCTTATGAGATGCCAACACCACCTTATATGAAATTTAAGCATCTTCACAACTCCACTAACACTGTCATGGTTTTGAAATAGCCAGACGCCAGTTGTTGAGCACCATAAAAACTGATGACTTTTGATATATTTGGACATTTTGGTTTAGACATGCAGCTCAGATAAGCAGGAAAATGGTTGTTCTCTCCAGGGACAAGAAATTAAGAAACAGGTAGTGAAAGATACACATTATAGTAATTTTTGCTAAGAACTAATATAAATAAATTGTCCAAGGACATCTAAATGTCTTACCTGTTCACGATTTCTGTCCGAACTTTTATCTTTTTCAGCAAAATCAACTCTTAGCTGCCGACCATTTATCTCGTACCTCTGAAGGTTGCGACGAGCACTTAACGCAGTCTCTTCATCCTTGTATTCACAGAATCCATAACCTTTTGGTTTCCCAGTTTCTTTATCAATCACTAATCTGAGGGGGGAAAAGAGCGAATAAAAAGATGAGAAATGCTAGGTAGACTCATCCAAGTAAGGGAGGATAGGGGGAAGAAATCAGTTCCTATCAGATGAAAAAAAGTCTCTTTCAGTCGGTCATCCTCCACATAATGCCCTCTAAACAGAATTTAAAAATCCTTGCTGGTGAAAAGTTTCCAACCAGCTGTGCTAAAAACTCCAAGCATTCATTTTTTATTTATTTTTTGGAACTGGACAAGCATTCATTTTTATACAAAAGATTAAATGATATTAGGTATTCTAGCTGTAGAGTTCACTTTGTCCATTAGTCACCTCAAATCCTCAATCAGCAAACTAATATCTACAGGATGCATGACCAGAAAATCAGCATTACAAAAAACACGGAATTTGGGATGATCAAAAGGTTAAAAGAGTATTTGTTTTATCATCTTCACTACTTTCTTACAGATACTATAATGTTAGTGCACTTGTAAGTTGGAAACTTGCAAAAGGACAGTCTTTTATATCCTCCTACGGATAACAAAATCAGCTGCTTTAACTAAATAAAACAAAGATAAAGCAGTCCCTGAGTCAATTAAGGGAGAAGGCAAAGAAAATAAACTGACCTGAAGGAAACAACTGGTCCAACTTCCTCACAGATTTGCATTAGTTGCTCCTCAGTAGCATCATATGGTATATTCCCAACTACATCACCCACAAATAAATTTAAATTACGTTAATATCCTACTATCAGTACTAACATACACACAAAAGCAACCCAGTGTGTCCAATTGGTTAAAGTTCTAATCTTTTCAACTAATTAAGCAACACAGTTTGCATAATTACAATAATCCAAACAGAATTTCATAAAACTGAGAGATACAGAAAATTAGGGGGAAATGCTAACCAAAAACGCGGCGACGCTGAGAATCGGAAGTGGCCATAATTGTTATAAGTTGAAGAAGAAGGTCCAGTGAATTAGCTTCATCCTTTCCCTCTTATAATTCGTGTCCCGCTCATTCCTTTTCCTTTTCAAACTGGGATTAAGCGGAGACGGCATTGCCAGAGCTCGATGAACAGAGGGCAGGAAAACGGGTCAGCGGACCCAATCAAGGCAGCCCATTAATTTTACTGTACTACTGCCTCCGTCCCATTTTAATTACTTTGATGGAGACCAAGTTAAAGAAATTAAAAGGAATTTTTGAATTTTTTGAAAAAAATATTGAATAGAAAATTACATCTTTTGGTATAGAATTGAAAAGAAGTAAGATACTTATATTTTAAAAAAATAAAGTGAAATAATTTTTCGAAAACACGTAAAAAGTTTGTTTGTTTCTAGATTGGTACGAAAGGATAAATGCTGATAAATATGTATCAAGAAACATCTTCTAACTTCAACTATAAGGTTTAAATCTTGGACTCGGAGTTGGAGGGAAATTAAAAATGAGCAATTATTGACGATCTTCTTCTTCAGTGAACATTAATATACTTTTTGTTATAAAATCTTTGTAGACTTGAAACAATGGAAGTTATTCTTCACATTCAAGGTTTGTCTTGTGTGAGCTCGCTTTTATTGTTAGTCTTAAGCTCAAATAAAAGAGTCGTTATTCTTCACATTCAACCAAGGTTTGTCTTGTGTGAGCTCACTTTTATTGTTTATCTTAAGCTCAAATAAAAGAGGAAGGTTGACAAGGATCGATTGGATATAATCTCTACCCTGATAAAAATAAGAATTAGATTGTGTACATCTTACTCTTCTCAAATCTCACTAGTAAAATCACACGCATTTGTTGTTGTTGCTGTATAAGATGATTAAATTCCACACCTCACAATCACCTCTCCATTTGCCCTTCCTCATCCCCCAACTCTTAGTAATAATATTAAGAAAAATATTTTAAAAAGTGTTGAAAATTTTACAAAGTTGGAAAAAAGCTTTGCTACTTGAATAAACCAGCCAAGTGCCCTAAACAAAAATATATTCTTCAGCAATGCTTAAGGGTATGTAGGGTTACCAACATATAAAATGGTCAAAGACCTAACGCAAAACCATCTGGATGAAAAATTGAATATCATTGACAAGAGTTTCTAGCATTGCAGGTCTTTTTCTTATAAAAAGGAACATATCATTAACAGCACAAAATGACCTCTCAATGGCGGCATCATATACTACGACATTTAGACCAGAATATAAAGAAGAGAAAACTCTGATCCTTTCTGCTCCAACAAACAGAAAAAAAGTGAGTAGGCTAATACATACAGAACATACACCGTCTCTATTCTCACAGAACTGTAAATGCTGATATAAGACAAAAGCTTTTCATACAACTATAGCATCACAATAGAAACATCCTCACTTTCCACAATTGAATCCCTTGCAAACTGAGAGAACAATGATGAGGATCAAAGCTATCAGGATACCTAACACTATCAGCTTGATTTTCATGTTTTGCAGCCACATCTTCCTCCGTATTTGGGTTCCCGTGTTCCTGAAGTCCTGTGCCTGTTACAATCAAAGAAGACACTAGCATTGGTTGGTGCTTTGTACAGATGGCACAAACTTCTTTTTGGGGCAAAAGAAACATGGAAACAACAGCCACCAGAACTCTATACAATAATGAATGGTTAACTACAACAAAGTTGCTGCTTAAATGAAAACTGAAGCTAATTAATATCATAACAAATCTTTTTTTTTTTGGAGGGGGGGATAAGTTGTCAGCTAATATTATAACGAACTGATCAATTTGACAAGGGTACATATAATATCTTTAGAAGTCAGGCGGATATTGCCAACCATCAATGGTAGTCCATCTATACAGCACTAGAACACATCTCATTACAACATACAGAAGGGGGCAAGCAAACAGGTAAGCTTCTTTTACTCCTCTTTTTTCTTAATGAAGAAAGAAGTATAAGCTTATTTAACTTCTTTTGTGTAAGTTGAGGAAGATATGAGCACCATTGTCTCCCAACATCATAGGGTTACGAAAAAGTCAGACTAATGGAAGAAAAAGGTAGGCAACAATCAAGCAAATCAAAGGCGACATCATCTTGTTGACAGGGCAACCCACCTTAGCCTATGGATAAGTTAGAATCCCATGCAATGCAAAAGGCAAAGATAACCCCCCTCCCCCCCCAAAAAGTGAAGTTGGCACTCAACTCAGAATGAACTGAAGGACATCCAAAAAGGATGGTGGGTTGTTCACTTGTAGCTCACTTATAAACCACATAGTAACATTAGCTAAGAGTAACCTCAAGTTACGATTAACATGCAAAAAGTACTAATGATATCCTATGAAGAAAGTTGTCCATATGAAGATTGAGCACCAGTAAGAGTCAATCCCATTCCCAAATGGTAAGATAATACAAAAAGCAAACTGTAAAATAAAATTGAAACCAACTGATTTAAATTGTTCTCAATAGAAGGATTTAAATGCAAGTTTTTAAAAAATAAATATAAAATGATAACCTGGTGATGAAGGTTCTCTGTCTTATCAACAAGAAGCTCTATCTTCTCTCCACGATCAAGAACCTAGAATTTCGAACAATGATAACATACCACATCAACTCTCATGATGTCGACCAGTAGAGCGAAAAGCATAATAATAACACATGAAGGAAAGATTTTGAAATGAGAAAAGCATTAGACGTAATCACAATAATCATTTCTTAATGGAATTTATGATTTGATAACCAAGAAATCCCCCTGAGCGCAAGTGACGCAAAGTTCAAAACTTGGGTGGATATTGGGGCCACCCCTCTACCCTTCTCCACTTGGATATCAGGCTTTTGTTTGCAGCAGAGTTGGAACTCGTAACGTGCACCTAACCCGCACATCACTTGTTGTACTGTTACCACTAGACCAACCAACAACCTGGGGGGCAATATGTAACTTATGGATATTAATAATGGTTAATCATTTTTGATATAGAACCACTCTCCAAACAATCAAACCTATACTTAATACTGCCTTCTAGTTTACCGACCTATCCCGTCTACAAGAACCACTTTCTTCAACTTACAAGTTGAGAGCAATTGCTAATATAAATAATCTTTAACAGTTTCCACTCTTTTTTAAATATGACAACCATTAAAACTCCAAATATATTGATGCTTCAGACCCATCCTTGTGATCACATTATAATTATAACACTATGTAATTGGGTTGACAGGAGAAGACTCCCTTCAGTCTAATAGTTTATCTTGTAGTAATGCACCTAAAAATTATTCAAGTGAACTAATTAGTAAGATTGTATGTAACTATGTAATGAGTTTATATAATGCAACTAATTAGTAAGATTGTATGTAACTATGTAATGAGTTTATATAATGCAACTAATTAGTAAGATTGTATGTAACTATGTAATGAGTTTATATAATGCAACTAATTAGTAAGATTGTATGTAACTATGTAATGAGTTTATATAATGCAACTAATTAGTAAGATTGTATGTAACTATGTAATGAGTTTATATAATGCAACTAATTAGTAAGATTGTATGTAACTATGTAATGAGTTTATATAATGCAACTAATTAGTAAGATTGTATGTAACTATGTAATGAGTTTATATAATGCAACTAATTAGTAAGATTGTATGTAACTATGTAATGAGTTTATATAATGCAACTAATTAGTAAGATTGTATGTAACTATGTAATGAGTTTATATAATGCAACTAATTAGTAAGATTGTATGTAACTATGTAATGAGTTTATATAATGCAATCTTCAATTCTAGGAAATGATGAAGATTTGAGAAGTTCACTCTTCACTGACGGAGCTTGCCTGAGATCCCATTCCGATGTAATCACTTCCCCTTTGTTAGTAAATATTCCAAAAACTCCATAATTACAAGTTCTGAGCAGGTAGTCATTCTGCATGAATTGATCAACTTGCGCTCTACAAAATATTAGTGTTCTATACAAAAAAGATTGAGCTAAGAATGTAGTGCAGTGGAATGGAGTGGAGTAAAACATCAGTAACTACGCTAATGCAAGCTAGTTAGGTTCGGCTTTATGAATCCTCAATATTCATTTCCCTCCATTTAGAAGTTAGCGTAATGATCAAAGAAAAATTTACAAATTTAGCTCAAGTATTTCTACAGTTGGAAGAAGGAATCTTCAGAACAATTATGCGTCACATAGTTATCCAGGATATGGGGATTCAATAACAACATCACATAAGGAAGTAAGGACTAATCAACCATCAAACGATAGATGAAGAGACATTTTACCTTCTCAATGTTTTCCATCATAACACCCTTAACTTCTGAAACCTGTGCTTTCACCTTGGCAAGTTTGCTAATTTCCTCAGGATGTTCAGCACAATACTGCATATGCTCCTTCAACTTAGGGCTGCACTTAAAAGAGTACTGCAGTTAGATGACTCAACAGAAAGCTCTGCCTTCACATACCACTAAAGTAAACTTTTAATATTAAATTACCCAAATTCCTTGTTCAGGCTATTAGGAGGAGCTGTTGCAGCCTTCCCACTCCCATATTTTGACATGAAATCATCCTTAATGCGCTCCAAAAACGCTATTGGAATTTGTCTTCCAACAGACTCCTCAGCAACCACACAGTATGCTGTAAGGAGAATTATAAAATTAGCATAGGTAAGTCCACTAATCAACTAAATGCAACATTGGTATATTTCTGGAAGTGCAAGAGAGCAGAATAACAAACGATTTTCTAATATCACTCAGATTCTCCTCTCATAATAGCTATTTAATTCCATAGGTTAGACACTCAGATATGATGCTCTTCACTTGAGGGTAAATATAAAATCATCAGATCACAGTAAAGTAAGAAGCTAAGGAATTGCATTTTGGAAGGTGAAACATTCTCTTAAATATACATCTAGTCTCTTTCCAAAAAATGCTTTCTAGTTGCTAAGAATTATGAAAAAACCAGTTTGACTAATGATGATCACAGATTTCACATTGGTGCCTTCAAGGCACTATAAGTAACTGAAAACAGTTAACAGCGCATCTAACAAAAACACAACTGGGACTTCAGTTCCCAGTGGCATGACAAGCTGTAGAAGAGAGTTGGACACAAGACGACATGGAAATTCAAAATATCAAAAAGGAAAATGAAATGATTTTGACCACCAGTCTCTTCTTTCCTCCAGTGGACAAACATAAAACACCCAAGAAATGCGATCACAGAAAAAGTGAAGCCAGTAAAATATGTGTCATCTGTGTGTGGATAGGGGATTAGTTTTTAATCTAATACATGAACGTAGTAAACGTTTTGCTTCTCTTCACTTCCTTTCTCTTTATCCCCCCCCCCCCTCTGACTCTTTTTTCCCCTTAATCTTTAAAAGATTCAATCCACCAAAATTGTTCTTCTGTGCTAATTTTAGTTTTTGGCCAGAAACCTCTTTCTCCTTATATTATTATATAATTCTAATGCAAGTGATTTCTGGATCTGTGGAGGAAAGAAGGAAAAGAGAGTTTTGAAGCCGGGAAAATAAATGAAAAGAAAAGATTGGTTGAGTTTGGTTTTCTTATTAGATAAAAAATATGTTATTTCAGGAGAATAAATGGAGTCTAAATTGTATTTGGCTGAATCAATCAATTGATGATGGAAAAAAAACTGTGTTACAGAGAGGGTGGGGTGAAGAGAAATTGTAAGGAGAATTGAGAGGGGAAAAAAGACAGAGTGACAGGGAATGAAGATACCAAATGATGTTGGACAGTCGGGTTATTTTTGTGAAGAGACCAAAAAGTCTCTTTATTATGCAATGTAATAAGCAATTAAGGGTATTTAAGGAAAATAAAAAATGAAGACATTGCTAATCTACTACCTTGGTGTAGTAGGTTAGCAAAACCATATAGGTATTGACTACTGATTAACTCTTCCCAGTGCCCACCAAGTCTTAGACAGAGGGAAAGGAATCCCCTAGCATTTTATGTATCTGTTGCGATTTGAACCCTGCTGTCCCATCACCCATGGTTTTCATCCTAGCACAAAAATATTACCTAAAGTGATGAATTCAGATGCATTTGATTATTCAGTTTCACTTTTGCATCTCAGACCAGTATAATGAAACAGAACTCCCAGAGGATCATAAATGTGAACCAATTCTCGAATCTAGTACACTCCCTCCAAATAAAACCTCAATTGAACATTTTTTTTAACAAATTGAAACCAAGTGATGCATAACCAATCGGTACATCTTATTGCTTATCAAGCAAATATAAATGAACCAAAGTAGTAAACTCATCCAACTTCAACAACCAGTCAGAGAAGTATGAAAAGAAAGCACTAATAAGATGATAACAATTATAATAGAAAAGGAACTATTTCACTTTACCACCAAAGAAAACTGAGAAATACCCCTTACAAGCAAAGAACAAACGTTAACACAATCGTTCCCCTCCCAGAAAATCCTGAAGTTAGCGGTAAAATGGATGCACAAAACTTAATCCACAGAGGAAACTGATCTAAAAATCCACTGATCCCTTTCATTTACCCTAATTTCAGATGCAACAATAAAAAATTCTTCCTAGCACACAAAATCCGGGAACCCCCAATACAACCAGGAATTTGGGTGAACTTCACTTTCTCTACAATCAACAACATATAATGGTTCACAGTACTAGAATTAATTTTAAGATCAATTTTAATTCCAGTACTAGAGTTAAATCATCATATTTCCGGATTAAGAATACAAATTAAATGAAGTTAATACCATAAACCACGATTTTCAGAAACAAAAAACACAGAACGATAATTACTCAAAATTTCTTCGATCCCTTTTATATCTACATCAATAGAAACAAACCCAGAAACAGAAACAAAAACATCAACAGAAAACAAGAGCTTTATGGGAAAGAGAACTGACTGAATCCATTATCAACAAGGTAGTTGAAGGTATGACCATCACAGTTATAAGTGAACTTGTTATTGGAAGCAGGCAGCTTCTGAAGACACTGATAAGCTATGGAGTTGAAGTTACCACTGAAATCTGTGTATTCAGCCAATATAACATTCCCACGACCGACAAACGCATAGATCAAAGCCTTCTGTTGACCCATTTACAACCGATTTCTTGCTTTTCCGGTGGATCGCCGATCTGGTTTTGTGGGTCTTCTATGATTTTGCTTAGCAAGCAAACAAAGAAGAATTCAAAGGTGAGAAAAAGTGTAGACTAATGGACTCCTCTATATCCTTGTGCCCTTTTTCTCTCTCTTGATTTTTAGAGAGAGAAAGCGAGTCCACCACTATACAAGGCAAGTGACCGAAAGTAGCTCAATATTATATCGAACTCCATTTTCTAATTTCTACTAAATGAAAACTTATTTATTTTTTTTGCAAATAAACCATTATAAAAATGATGAAAATGTTACTCCCTCTATCCCAATTTATATGATTTACTTTCCTTTTTAGTCAATCCTAAAAAGAATGACACATTTCTATTTTAAATAACAATTTGCCTATAAAATGTCTTTTTTACCCTTAATGAAATGATTTACAACCACACAAATTTCTATCATTCATTTTGGACCACAAGTTTTAAAAGTCTTTTCATTTTTCTTAAAGTTTGTGTCAAATCAAAGTACATCATATAAAATGGGACGGAGGGAGTATTATTATAAATTTAAAATAATTTTTTACACGTAGAAGAACGAATGACAAAATAAACATGAGAAAGAAGTTTGGATTCCATTTTCGAGAAGGGTATATGTATCAAATGTTTTAAAAAATATTAAGTAAGAATAAAGCAAAAGAAAATTTGATCATATCAAAAGTAATGATTATAAATTTAGACATATAAGCTGTAAAAGCAATAATTGATCAAACAAGGTCTTAATAAACCGACAATATTTTTAGTTTTGATCCCCTATTAGAACCTAAACTTCATGGAATTTTTTTTATATGTATAGATAAATTTCTTAAATATACTAGATAGAATAAATATTCATGAATAAATAAATATTTTATTGATTTTTAATTTTTTGGAATGAAAAAGTTCATCAATCCAAATAATCGTTCTTTTATTTTCGTAGCGCTACAAAATCCATGACCTTCCAAAAAAAATGTATAGTCCATCCTTTGAGGTGGCTCAATGGTTTAGGCTTGAGACTTCCATATTGAAGATCTCAAGTTCGAAATCTCTTGCTGTAAAGGATTCACCTTCTAGGTCGAGCTTGTCACACGAGCTTGCTTAGTCTAGGTTAACTCTCCAGTGTGGTTTGCAAGATATTGCATAAGACCGGGAGTCTCTAGGTCGAGCTCGTCACACGAGCTTGCTTAGTCTGGGTTAACTCTCCAGTGTGGTTTGCAAGATATTGCATAAGACCTAGAGTTTTACCTTGTGCATCCCTAAGGTAGGGATGGCAATGGGGTGGGGCGGTGCGAGTTGAGCTTAACCCGCAAAAATTTTAATCCGTCCCGCCCCACATAATTTTTTTAATATTTTCTTTTTCTAGTTATGTTTGATACTAAAAAAAAATTCATTTTTTCATTAAGTTGTATTGATTTAATAGGATAGTGACTTAAAATCTTGTTTTTTAGAGGTCAATTGGGAAACATGTAAGAAATTGTATTATTTTTTATTGAACCACCCCACATTAATTTTAAAAAAACCTACTTCAACCCGCCCACACAACCTTAAACCCGCCCTGCCCCGTTCCATATAGCCTTAAACCCACCCCACATCCGCCCCGTCCCATTGCCATTCCTACCTAAGGATAGTAGCTTAGAATTTCCCTTTGTCATTAAAAAATGTAAAAAGCTAGAAAAACACTATTCATAATAGGAAGGCAAGGAACACTGCCTTGTTTATCATAATTTTCAAAAGGTTTCCAAGGAACAGAAAAGCTAACAAAATCACAATATCATATACCTTTACATTAACTCATTCACTGAAATAATGTTATAGATCCACTGGAGTGAAGGAACGGGCCCGTTTGGCCATGCGATATGGTATCATGATATGGAATCATGATATGGTATCATGATATGAAATCATGAGATGAAATTGAAGGTTTGTTTGGACATGCGATATGGAATTTTTGTGTTGTATATTTTCTCATAAACATAAAAATCTCATAAGTTGTAAAACTATTAAAATAGCCCCAATTGTTTATTCAATCTTATCAAATAAACAAAAATTATAAAATCGCATAATAAATTATTACAAAGTTATTTGTTCTTCACTTAAGTAATTGTTTCATCTAACTTTAATTTAACTTAAAAAATTGAACATAAATTGTACTTGATATGCTCATATCTCTCAACTACTCTTACAAATAACCTATAAAAAAATATATATATACATTAGTGAGTAAATATTAACTTAGAAGTTAAATACACTAAAGATAAAAATTAACAAACATCACTGACTTCTAATTATTTACAAGAAAAATCAATAGTTAAATATTATTGAATAACGAAATTTTAAAAAGTTACCACAAGTTTGAGTCAAAAACACTTCTAATAAAATTTAATCAAAAAAATTATAACTAGTCCACTTGACTAAATATTAATAACTAATTGATCAAATTTTCCCAAGTCCTCAATCAATTGGACTTGATATTCTTCAGTCATGTGAACGAACATTTTGCGAATACTAAGATTAAGAAAGTGCGGCACCGCCAATGAAAATTGTCTTTTATCAATATTATGCTTAGTCATAAGATTAAGACGTTTTTTTTATTATGAAAAATAAAGAAAGTGTTACTCCCTTCGTTCTTATTTATATTCACCAAATGAATTTCTACTTTATCATTTATATTCACCAAATTTAAAGTAATAATAAATTTTATATTGGTGAGAATAATAAATTTTAAAAAGTAATGATGTGATTATAAATTTTATTTACATATGAAATAAATGGTTAGTAGATATAAATGTGGGGTTGTTTTAACAAAATATAAACTCACGGATTAATTATTGTATTAAAATATCTCAAATCATGGTTTTTGGAGAATATGGTATCACCTCTCATGAGATGGAATCAGCGTAAAATCGCATGTCCAAACGCTGATTCCATCTCACGACACCATATCGTGATATGGTATCGCATGGCCAAACGCCTACTATAAGAAGAAAAAAATGGGAGTAGCAAATACAAATTTGGTCTGAACAAATGGAAGGCCTTAAAATCTGAAAATTGGCTAAAACTCTAAAACCAAAAAACATAACCATACTTGGACAAGTTATTAGGCAGGATGCTGGGACAAAAATGTTCATAACTTGTACTGCAAAAATGTTCTACTCAGAGAAAGATTGCAGTTGGATTGCCTGGTGCTGGTGGATTCTGCCTCACGACTGCAGCATGAGGCCCTGCTCTCTCCAGGGCATCATCTATCATAGATAAGATCTCCAATCTCTCGAGACCAAGCTGTCTTTTGATCAAGTCTGAGTTCTTCTCAAGGACTTCAATCTCACCAAAAGGAAGCCTCAAGTCCAACGGTTGAACCCCAACTGCCAATACTTCGTCTTTCTTGAACCTCAAGAAAGGCATACAGAGCTTTTGTATTTGTTTGAAATTGCCTTGCTGTGCAATATCACTCTTCTGCAATTCGGAGAGGATTTCTTTATCAGGTGCAAAGGAGCCGGTTGAAGTGTCAAATTTCCTCTGCAGAATCCCCAAACATTCCTTTTTCCACCCACCATACTGCTCATCCACATATATCAGCCCCATGGTAGGTTTGTTTTGGCTATTCAGATTTACATTTCCTTTCTTTGAACCAGAAACCTGCTTCTGAAGTAGCTTCCTCATCGAGATAATCGTGTCTTGCAAATATTTGTTGGCCTTCTTAAGGGTAAGATCTGGCAAATCAGCCTCAGGCCACCCAGCTTTTATGACATAACCATCCTTCTTCAGAAGCTCTCTCCAGGCATTTTCAGCATAGTGTGGACAGATTGGAGCAATAAGTCGCGTTTGAACATCCATAAATCGCCATAGCAAATCCCGGTTCATGCCTCCTGAACCACAGGAAAGCCTGTACTCATCTCTGGCAGCCTGAAGATCATAAAAACCAGTTTTCAGAGCTTCCCGAAACATGTATTCACTATAGTTCTTCTCTGCAGTCCTAACTGCAATATTAATTTCATTAGCAAACACACGGTCTGCATATGTGGATGGTGGCCCATTTCTTAAAGATGGCTCTGCAGAAAGAACCTCCTGCATCCATGCTATTTCTTTTGTGAGACGTAAGATGGCAGCATTAGCCGTTTCAAAGACAAAGTTAGCATCGTCCATCCCATCACCTGCATCTGCAAGGGCAAAGCGTGTGGCATCAGCTGAAAACTCTTCAATTGCCTGCCGGAGTGTTCGGAAATTTCCAGTAGACTTGGACATCTTCTCAGAGTTGAGCATTATATGCCCATTGCATCTGAAACCACGGGGCCAGTGATGTTTAGGGAACATGGCAGTGTGGTTATAGATGCAAAAGCTAAGATGATTCTGAATAAGATCCTTGCCAGAAACTCTGAGATCGAACGGATACCAGTAGTCAAATTCCTGCTTCATTTCCTTGAGAAGAGAAGAAGATATAGAAGAATTTTCAGGAAAAGGTCCATTACAGAACAAGAATTCCCAGATCTCATCGGTCAGCTGTTCTGGTTTCACAGAAGAATGATCATTACCATACATATCCCCTTTCTGCAAGAAATGTGCCACGGTGTAATATGCCATATAAATTGTGGAATCAGACAAGGACTCAACTAAGAAATCCTCATCCCAAGGAATATGAGTTCCCAGCCCAAAATTGCGAGAGCAAGCCCACTGATTAAGCCAGCTAAGAGTGTGTTCAAAACCATGCCGTGTCTCATCAGAGTAGAGATTCATACTGGCCAAACACTCTTCTGCAGCTTTCCTCCATTCTGATTCTCCATAAGTGAGATACCACTGATCAGTCAAAGCCACAACACACTCATCCCCAGATCTCGACATGACCTTCTTCTCAGGTTCACTATATATTACCGCTTGATTCATCTCCAAAAGGTTGCTCCTGATCAGACCTTTTGCTTCTTGGACTTTCATACCAGCAAATTCTCCAACAATCATGGTTCCTTCGTAAAACCCACCCTTGTAAATTGTTTTCTTTGCCTCATCAAGCTTATCTCTCTCATTCTGGCTCTTGATTTTTTTTTCAATACAAATTCTCTCAGCTGACCTGTCCCCAAAATCTGGATGGTTGATAATTGGAACTATCTCAAATGGCAAGACCCACTCATCCTTCACACCAAATTTGGCCCTGAAAGCTGGCTTTGACTTCAAATCATGTAGGGCCATGTA